CTTGGTAATTTGTGGGTCGATTCGCTGCACCGTAAAGAAAGAACAACTGAAATGACGTCGCATTGACACTAAAAGACAAATTGTTTGGACAAAATAGTCAGTAGTGATTGAAATTTGACCCATAGCATCATGGGGTTAAGAGGGTGAGTGTGAGGGTGGGGGCGGCCCCCTAATCTCATAGTCGAAGCGGGGTCAGGGATTACATTATTCGTTCTCGATTGGCTCCCGATAACTTTTTTTAATTTATATAATATATGTATATAGCATGTGTATATATAAATATATATATATATATATATAAGCAAATGATCGTGTGAAAATAAGAATTAAGATAAGAAGGAATGTGGACTCTTGATCACCTTAAATCTCAAATGCAATTATAAATTGTGTTTGATAAGGGGATTGATAGCACCTAATCTCATACTCGAAGCGGGGTCAGGGATTACATTACTCGTTCTCGATCAGATCCCGATTAAATTCTTTAATTTATATAGCATGTGTATATATGAATATATCTGTATAGCCAATAGGCGAATGATCGTGTAAGAATGAGAGTTAAGATAAGAAGGGATGTGGACTTTTGATCACCTTAAATCTCAAACGCAACTAAATTGTGTTTGATAAGGGGATTGATCCGGTGTATCTCATCATAATGTGCATCCAATGGTGAAGATCTCTTTTAACGTTTCTCACCTTAACTCTCATTCTCGCACGATCCTCCGTCTTATATGTAATATTAAGTTTTTATAATTACATATATTAAGTGTGTGTTTGAAGTTGATTTTTTTAGTTTTCAGTAGACACGCCACTTTTCAGTCTTTTTAGTGTTTTAATTTTAGTGGTTGGGTTGAGATGGTCTTATGAGAGCAATTTACCGTACGTTTACCGAGTAAATATTTATGAAATGTTATTTACTTTATCGGATGAACATAATAAAGGCCGAGAATTTTACCAGGTAAGAGACATAGCAACTTAGTAATGACTAATAATCTTACATGGTAAGATGCATAGCAATGATCGAGAATCTTACCTGGTAAGATGCATAACAAGGATCGAGAATCTTACGCGGTAAGTGAAGGTAAGTGATTATCGATAATGTTACTTGATAAGGTAAGTGAAAATTGTGATTCTTGTTAGTAAACGCTTACCCGATAAGCGTTTGATAAAACGAGCCATTTGTTTTAGTTTATATTAAATGTAAAATATATTTCATTTTCTCAATAATTTTTTTCATGTCCATTTAGACTGACAACCTATTAATCATGTATCATTTGATCGAGTATATGTTAATCAACAAATAACGTTACCAGTCAAAACTGTTGATTGAAAACTTGACATACATGTCATCAAACGTTACAATATTAAGTGTAACACTCCTACAACAGGATACAATTTAAATCGATGACTTAAACAGGGAAATCTGTTTCATAAATAAAAATCACCCAACAAAGGGGACAGTGCAAGAGTTTACATTAATGGAATGGATGTTAGATGACAACCGACTAATTTGCACTACATCAAAATATAGATTACATTCAGGTGTCACTAAAATCCTCAGAAGAATGGTATTTCGTAACTCCACGATTACACTTGAGGTGTAAACCCAAAAATGCCTTTATCGGCAACTATGCTTTCATTCAACTATTTGAAGCCTCACTGCTAAGAGAACCTGATATACATGTCATTTGAGAAAAAAAAAATTAGGCTGAACGCATAGTGAGAACATATGGTTAATGGATGAAGTCATATACTTTAAAACATAAATGAAGCTTTAAATCAAAAGCGCTTAATACATTATAAAAGAACGGGCGACGAAACACATTAGTAAATCACTATGCAATGTTGTATGAGCAGAACTTAGTTAAGCCCGTTCGTGAGAAATTATGTCTTATTGGTCAAGGGCCGATGCCGTACTCCAAGAGCCTACACTTTGATGCATATGAAAACCCGATGCATATTCCAAACTACAATACGTTAGAAATTACATTTTATTGGTCAATAGCCATGTCTGACTCCAAGAGTCCACAATTTAATACCTACGAAGACCCAATACCTAATTCACGTTAAAGTTTAGGGATTAACACCCAAACATAATAAAATCGACTGAATTATGTGCCTATGAATCAATTACATTATGGTTATATATATATATATATATCAAACTTTACTCGATACAAATTATCTTATACGCAAACTCCAGTTAAGCAACATAATCCTATTTCATTAACAAAATCCCAAATATAACGCTTTCATATACTTGAGTTCCAAATCCATAAATTATTTGAAGTAATCATTTTCCAAGTGTTTAAAATCATTTCGCACGCTTGTTTTATCAAAGTAAACAAAATCCCCATTTTTCCCAATATCTATACTATCTTATTAAGCAAATTCATCAAAAGTCTTAAAGTCTTAAAATTCTAAATGACCAAGATACCCTTTTCACTTTTGCATCCCTTCCTCTCCTCACATACATTTACATTTTATATCCCTATAATTAGTTAATTAATTACTTTATGTCCTTTACTTTTAAATGTTTCATTTTAAACCTTTATCAAATTAACATACATAATCGTATATCAAATAAAACATGTTTAAAAAATACATTTTTATTTTAACAAGTTACACTATTATAATCGTCTCGTTAATACCTTCGAAATGAGTCCAATATTGAATAATTTTTGACTTAATTATATTATTATATATTATATATACTGTGAAAAATATTTTTAATGTTTACGATTTATACTTTTATAGTTATTTATTTTTATATATATATATATGCTATACATTTTGGGATTAGGCTGTCCAAATTGCACTGTATAATATGTTCTTGGGTTTTTTTTTGAAATATATATATACATGTATTAATTCAACCTTAATCTGAGCTTCTGGACAAGAAAGAGGGTAAGCAGTTGAAATTTCATTATAAAACTCATATTTTTTGGTCTTTTCATAGCTTATGATCTGTCAAATTTGTAGTTTTCTTTATTGGTTTTGAGTGTTTATCTTAAAACTCAAGTTTTTTGGTTCTTTGCTCTTGGTGTAAATCGAACATATTTGTGGAGTCGTTTAAATATCTTGAATTTTAAATATATTGGATTTTAAATTGTCATACAATTTTTTTCATCGATAGCCTGTAATTAGAACTATAACTCTTATTTATTCAAATTGTATTAATATGTAAAGATCAAGTGTAACCTATATCATCGTTAAATCTTGTCTTATAAAACAAGTGAAACTTCAAAATCGTTAAAATTCATGGCTCCCGCCGCATTGCGCGGGTACACAACTAGTAAATATAAGAAATAAGAACTTAGAGGAGGTAAAATACATTATTTTAACATGTATATGGTTTTATAACAGTGAATAATCAAACCACAGTACTAGGTTTTTTTTTTTGTTGATGAAAACCTACAAAATCAAGAAAACCCTCTAAAGGTGTAGAGGAACTTGGATGCTTGATTCCACACTTAAAGCTTCTCTCTAAACTCCTTAAATACCTAAAAGCTAGTGAAGGGAAAGAAGTGGATGGGAGTAAATGAGGAACGGAAAATGTAGGTACGAGAAAAAATGGTTCAAAGAAGCTGGAAATTAGATTTTATTGTGTCGGTTCCCCCTTCCTGCCCTTCTGGCGACATTTGCCATGCTATAGTGACGGTGTCACTATAGCCCCAAATGTACCTCGACTAGTTGATCCCCGACGATATATTTGGAGTTATAGTACTCGACGATATTAAAAAGTTTCACATTTGGAACCGATTACATATGAAACAAACACATTATAAAACAAATACATGCTAAATGATATATTAAAATATAGTCTTAGATGAAAAAGAATCATGTGAAACAATATCTTATGATAATAGTTCTCACATTTATCATTTATATGAGGTTCTCAAATGTCATTTACAAAAACGCATAGGGGTTAAACTGATATTTCCATAAACACAAGGGGCTTGAATGAAATTTACATACTATGTGTTGGTGAGTGAATCAAACTCCGTTTTCCCCCAAAAATCAATTTCACTTTGGGCTCCGCAATCGACATCCAGTCTCTTCCTCAGTTAAACCCTTCTGCGATTACTCTTTTAGGTCAGTCTGAATTCAGTTTTCTTCATTTATCTGCTACGCAGTTGTCGATTTATAGCTATTAAATTTCTATTTGTTGTGGAACCCAGTATGTTTTATGATTCATACTCAATTTTGAATGTTTTTTCTTTTTCGTATAACTGTTCGTGTGTTTTCTGTTGATTAAGTTTAGCTAATTGCTAGGTTCTTGCATGCCTGCTTCAATTCGTTTTGCAATTATTACCCTAATCAAAGTTTTTTGAGCAGCTTTGAACATATAACGACTTCAATACAATGATATTTGATGCAGGTTGTGTAAATTTCAGATGGAAATTCTTTCTACTTGAATTTGAATGTGTTTTTAACCATATAAAACTGTTGTGCTTGAGATTGAAGTATTATGGCGTGTATATGACTTGAGAACATGTAGAGTGACAGTGTAACAGTATATGAGTGCATTTGTCTTTGAGAGTATTATGATGTCTTATTTGTTCACTCATACAAATTGTGTTCTGATTATTGGATTAAGTCGTCTGCTAGTTTAGGCTTCTATAAATAAGGTAGCCCACTTTCATAAAGACGGACAGCGAGTTGGAGGATGCTGCAGAATCATGTGATCATTAGTATGATGTATCGTTAGGTTATGCCAAGTCAAATCTGCTCCATTTAGAATCTTCGTCGAGCCAGCTACAATAAGGTATCCAAGACCTGTATGTAGACCTGGGCCTCGCGGGGGTCATGGATTTAGTTCAGACCTGCCTCAGGGACGAAGCGTAGAGGTCACTTTAGATCGGTTAGAAAGAAACAAGAAAGGTAGAGGAGCAGAGGAGAAGTTTTTAGGGCATTTTTTTGGGGGGGGGTTAGAGAGAAAAAATCCATGGTTTCTTATAGAAGTTTAATGTTTAGTTTGCTTCTACACATGTTCGTTATAAAATACATCATCACAAATCTATGATAGATGCTTAAAGGATTCAAATATGTTGATAATTATGTGCAGTACATTTTGTTCGTGTGTAGAGCAGTTGATATGGTTCCCATTTTTTGTCATTCAGATAGTTTGTTCAACACACAAAAAAACTAACAATTTATTTAAATCCATGTGAACACTTAATCCATACAAAACTTAATAAAGAAAACAAACAAACACCACCTTACTGGATGAATAAACGTTGGGTAGTGTGAAACGTAATCTACAGGACAATAATATAAGGTGGTACATGGATTCAAATTTGCAAGAAATTTCATTTTGTTACAAGAAAAGATTACGTTAACTGATTTTTCTGCCTTGTTTAACTCAACTAGTGCCGGTAAGGTTAGAACTACTCTAATTTGTTTTCCTAAAAACTTATGATCATTAGATGTATGATATTCTAACTGCTTTGAGCTGGGATTTGAAGGTAATTGCATCAGCCCTACAGAACCATTGTTGCGGCATAAGGTCCATTATGGCATTCGGAGGCCCACCTTTGGGTCCAGCTGCAGCTGCTGGCAGTTCCCCTGCAATAAAGCAGGTGAAACTGGAAAAAGAGAGTGAACTCAGGATTGAAGTTAGTGTCAACACTGCTCTCCGCCTCAGGCTACTAAATGGGACGGCTGAGATATTTGGCACCGAAATGCCCCCAGAAAATTGGCTCATCTTCCCACCAAGAATGAAATTTGCTGTAAACAAACACACACTTATCCTCATAGTCCCTCTTTGTTATATATATATATATATATAATATATGTATATCTGTGTGTGTGTGTATATATATATATAGAGAGAGAGAGAGTCAGGTTCATACGAGAACAATAACTAAATAAGAGAATAAGAAAACAGTCGAATCACATGTGATTTTACACTAAAATCACGTGTAAAATCACATGTGATTTACACGATTTTTGGCATGACCTCAGGTTGCGGGCCACGTCCATTGACCGTTAGTGTAAAATCATATGTGATTTTGCATATGATTTGACCGTTTTTTGTGCTCTTTTATTTGGATATTGTTCTCGTATGAACCTCCCTCTCTCTCTATATATATATATATACACATACATATAGGGTCAGGTTAAGGGGAAAACCGCCGAAAAATGAAAAACTGAGGAACACTCTGGTAATCATTCATCTGCACAGTATATACATATGCATACAAGTAATTTGTAAGCAATTTGTCTGGTATGCACATGTGTATAACATGCACACATGCATAAAAAACAAGAAACAACTTCATTACTTGTATGCACATGTGCATATCATATAGATGAATGGTTATCAGGGTGTTCCTCAATTCATTATTTTGTTGGGGGTTTCCTAGAACCTCCCTCCCTCCCTCTCTATTATATATATTACGTACTTTATGTTTGGCTCATGTAGAAAATATATTATGCTTATTGCTGTTGGTTTAAGGTTATGGTGGATGAGATTTTGATAGAAACATGAAGTATTTGTGTATAGGAAAGGGTATATGTGTGATTATGCTTATTATATAGTGCGGTCTTGTTCGACATACAACACCTAAAAGACGTATGTCTCTATACAAAAGGTCTTGTTAAATTCGTGCATGAGATGTTCTCTCAACGGTTGTAACCTTTGATTTCACATGCAAGCGATAGTTTTAAAACTTCTATTTGATGGGATGCATAGTCATATACTTATAGCTTTCAACAAGTCGATACGTAAACCACAAGGGTTGTGGCATAGTGATTGAGGCCCAGGGGGATGTAGTGGAATATCCCATCTGCTCTGGGTTCAATTCCAGGTGTCCACAACAATTGTGGCTACTGATTTATCACTTGATGTCTTACAATCACAATTTGCTGGGATTAGTCTTGGCATAGCCTAGCACACCCTTCCAATTTTTTTTGGATACATACACATTCTGTATCACAAAAGGACGTTCTCCATGCTTTCCTTTTTTTTTCTTTTCTTGTAACAAGCCTATGTACATTGCAGCTTCTTTCTGACCTCCGTTCATAAAACAACTTTACAACTTACATGAATTCTATTATAGAATAACACTTGAATTGTTTCCTGTAGCCTAAGCTTATATTTCACTTGCCTTGTTTTGGAATTTCAGATATTTACATGGTATGGGGCGACAATTGAAATGCAAGATAATACTGAAACTGTTTATGTAGCAGATGAGGTAAGATGCCTATCTGGAAAAGAAAGAGATCATCACAGTTATTTACGTACTCAATGTACATGGTATTAATTCTTTATTCTATTTTTGATATAAAGACACCAATGGTCAGTTATGTAAATGTGCATGCTGTACTTGAAGGACGAAGAAATCGTGCAAAAGCGTCTGCTAGTGATGCTGATGCTTCCCAGGTTCGTATCTTTTCTGTAATGCACAACTATTTCTGGCTTCTGTGTTGTAGCGATCACTTTTACCAAGTTCCAAGTTTCCAACCACTTCCTTTTTAAATGCTTAGTTTGGTTGAGTCATGATGTATTCAGGGTCCGAGGGTGATTGTAGTTGGACCAACAGATTCCGGAAAGAGTACCTTGTCGAGAATGCTTCTTAGTTGGGCGGCCAAACAGGGATGGAAACCGACTTTTGTGGATTTGGACATTGGCCAAGGATCTATAACTCTCCCTGGATGTATTGCTGCTAGCCCAATAGACATGCCAATTGATCCGGTGGAAGGGATTCCTCTCGAGATGCCTCTTGTCTACTTTTATGGGCATAACACTCCAACGTAACAACTTTTTACTCATTATCTCTCATGATAAGTTACATCTTCCTTTACTCCCTCCGGGTTGGGTTCGCATGAGACCACAAAATACCACTAAAACTTCATAGCAAATCATTTTTGATGGTACAAGAAACGCCGAACCTTCATAGCAAAAACAAGCTTTGCTTTGAAGGTTCGGTGTTATTTTTGTCGTCTCATGGGTCTCATGAAAACAGGCTGGTCTCACCTGATCCCAAGTGTACTTCCTCTCCCAAAATAAGTGTCCACATCTCTATTTAAGTTTGTCCCAAAATAAGTGTCCACTTTCACAAATGGATAGTTATGATTTACTAAATTTTCCAATTCCACCCTCATGAGGCACACACATTTAAGAGTTGATAAGATGAAGAAACTCATTAAGGACAAAATTGTCATTCAATTAATTAAAAGTATAATGAGTAATAATTATACTTTTGAAGGCAGTGTGATTTTTTATTGAGTGCGTTTGGTAACTAGACAGGTGGACAGGACAAAAGAAGAATCCATGTTCCACGTTTGGCAGTACTTCTATATGGAACATAGTGGAACAAGGTGGAACGGACCAATATTTTACCAATTTAACCTCAAAATACAACCTAATTCTCTTCTAAAACATCAAATATGCCTCTCTCTTTACATTTTATTCGTTCTTTAAATTTTATTTAATTTTATGCTTTTTACAAACTTTCACTTTATTGTCCTCAAGATATTATTTTTATATGGTTTCTATATTTTGATTAATGTATGCAATTTATTAAATATTAATAATAAAAAAATAATATAGAAAAGGTATAAAATAAAAATTGGAAACTACATAAACTTTTTATTATGGTGTCATTTTAATCGTCTTGACGAAAACTTTCTAATGATATATTTTGTTATAAAAATATTTATTTTACTGTAATTTAATAAATCACATACATCAATCAAAATATATAAACAACTCATTAGGGTAAATTGGTCATTTTATCTGTTCCATGCTATCCAATTTTGTCTTACCAAACGTTAAACAACTGTTTCGTTCCGTCCTTTTCTGTTCTATCATGTCTGTTTGGGACTCGGAGGGAGTATTTCTTTGGTCCCTTATCTTGCTTCTAGTTTTTGAGTTTCCGTTAACATCCCCTACCTTTGTTTTTGTAGCGTTAATGCAGATCTTTATAGGGTACTAGTAAAGGAGCTTGCCGTGATCTTGGAAAGGCAATTTGCTGGAAATACCGAATCTAGGGCAGCCGGCATGGTCATCAACACCATGGGATTCATCGATGGCCTTGGTTATGATGTATGTGTTATATACGTTCTCATTTGGTATGGCATACTCCCTTCGTCCCAAGATAAATGTCCATAATGAAAAATGCACAAATTTAAGAATGTGATTATTACACTTTTTAGTTAACTAGATGACACTTTTATTCTTAATAAGAGAGAGAGAGAGAGAGAGAGAGAAAAAATTTTTCTCCATCTCATCGTTAAGAGTAGAATGGGAAAGTAAACATTTATTTTTGAATTAGACACTTATTTTGAGACAAACTAAAATAGAAACGTGGAACACTTATTTTGGGATGAATGGAGTATTAGTTATATAGATTGCCATATGTTGAATGGTATCTTGACTTTCTTTGCAGCTTCTTTTGCATGCAATCGATACATTTCAAGCCACTGTTGTTCTGGTTTTAGGTCAGGTGAAAGCTTTTCCCACTAACTTTTTGTTAATACCTTTATTATTTATGACGAGAGATCCAAGTTGCATGAATAAGCTAATATCATCTAATTTGGCATGTGGGACGGGATAGGACTGAACAAGAAATTTGTTGTCCGACATTTTGTGGGACATTAGAACAGGTACAGGACAAAAATGCATTCTTTTGTCCCACCAAAATAGCTGGAACAAGAATTAAGGAGATACGACAAGATTCGTAAATTACTGAACTACCATATCAAATTAAAACAAAAACATTTCCCCGTTCTTTCCCCTGCCTACCTGACTCTTACCTATTCAGTTACGTGTGCATTTTAGACCAGAGGCAAGGGAGATGGACAAGATTGATAAATTACTAAATTACCCTGCCAAATTAGAACCCTACAAAAATTCTACAATTCTTTCACCTGCATACTAGGCATGGGAATGGGGCGGTCTTAAATTCTCAGTGTCCGTTCCCATCCCCGTCCCTGTTCTCGTGTCTGGGAATATGATCACATCTCCATCCCCATCCCCAATGGAGAATCGAGGATTTTTTCCCCTTTTTGTGAGATATTTTAAATCAAATGTGTTAAATATTACACTCGATCCAAAATGGTCCATTTTTAAATCTCACATATTTCCAAAAAAAATTATGGAGTAACAAATATTTATATGTTAACAAAATCACAACAACATACAAAATTGTTTGATCAAACGCTTTCGTCTCTCCATGTTTTTTATCTGAAAAAGGTAAAACAAGTGAGAAAAAACATGTATATAAGAGGAAAGGTCAAAATACAATTTCTAAATCTAAAAGATACTAAATCTAATTCTTTATAGATAATGTATTTAATTATAAATATATAATATGTTTAATATACGGTGAAGGATCGTGTGAGAAGGAGAGTTAAGTGAGAAGTGTAAGAAGGGATCTGGATCCTTGAACATCTTTAATCTCAAACCCACCCATGAATTGCGCATGATACAAGGATTAATCCGGTGCATCTCGGTGCATTCATCCTAATGTGCATCTAAGTGTGGAGATCCCTTCTTACGCTTCTCACCTTAACTCTCCTTCTGTCCGGAACCCTATCCTTTAATATATGTGGACGGCGCGAGGCAGGGATCACATTAATGGGCCCCGTCCCTGTCCCCGGTTTTTGACTTTTGGGGATCCCCGTCCCCATCTCCGGTTTTGCAGGGAATTCCATCCCCATCGGGGCAGGCACGCCGGGTTCCCAAATGGGGCGGGTCTCATTCACATGCCTATTGCATATCTCTCTCTTATTCGTTCAGTCCTGCCCTGTCCTCGTATCAAAGGCACTTTTAGGTCATAAAATGTTCAGCAGCGGCATATTGGTAGTTTGAATTTGCAATTTAAGTAGACGTGCCTGTGTAAGACATCATCAATGAAAAACCAACCAAACATCCCCTAAGACATCATCAATGAAACCACGATATGTTTAACATATTATATGTTTGTAACCTTGGTCAGGAGAAACTTTGCAGCATGTTAAGAGATGTTTTAAAACGAAAGCCGAACGTGGATGTGGTGAAACTTCAGAGATCAGGTGGTGTTGTATCTAGGAATTCAAAATTCCGAGCTAGTGCCCGGAGCCAGAGGATAAGGGTAAGTGGAAACTTTAGATGACTGAATAGAGTCTAGCTTTCACATGGGTATGCAATGCTTTATGCTTGAAACTATTGGATCATAAATCTTGACATATTAAGCCTTGTGTGTGTGTGTTTATGCATGTATATAGGGGCAGGTTCATTTAGGAACCTTAACTATTTTGAGAACCCATGAACCACCTATTTTGTGTAGTATCATGATGAATCTTGTGACAAATATTCATGATGAATAATATTCATTATTATTCATCATGAATACTACATAACATAGGTGGTTCTTGGGTTCTCAAAATCCTAAAGGTTCCTTGATGAACATCCCCCCTCCTCTCTCTCTCTCTCTATATATATATATATATATATATATAGTGGGAGGTTCGGGTGAAAACCCCAAAAATGAAGAACCAAAGAACACCCTTGTAACCATTCATCTGGACGGTATGCACATGTGCATACAAGTAATTGAAGCCATTTTTTGGTTTTTATGCACGTGGGTATATTGGACAAATTGTTTACAAATTACTTGTATGCATATGTGCATATCGCCCAGATGAACGGTACCAAAGGTGTTTTTTTTCAGTTTTCCAATTTTTTGCGGTATTTATATATATGTATGCATAATTTGCCAATTTAAGGACCCTTCAAATGTATTCTCCAGTTATCACTGAACCAAAGCTTACCCGAGGGTTACTGTAATTTCAGGAATACTTTTATGGTCTATCAAATGACCTTTCCCCACACTCGAGTATTGCAAGTTTTAGCGACTTGGCTATCTACAAAATTGGCGGTGGACCCCAGGCCCCTGCGTCGGCTCTGCCGATTGGGGCACAACCTGTGGCTGACCCCATGAGATTGGTTCCAGTAAATATCAACAGGGATTTACTGAATCTAGTTCTTGCAGTCTCATTTGCCAAAGAGCAAGATCAGATTCTTTCAAGGTATTGTCAACCACCTTCTGATATATTAAAGACGTTTTATGTTTCAAAACGTACGAATTATATGAAGGAACCTCTGACCAAAATGCCAATTTGTTCCCCAACGTAGAGGTGGGAAACTTAAAAACTATTACACTGAGAACATTTTGGTATAAGGCGGGCCATAATCAAGATTAGGGATCCGAATTTGTGTTTGGGAAGTGGGGGATGGGTGGATATGGGCAATGTACCCCCCAAATCCCTGACGGGTTGAGGGCAATCATGGAGGTTCCAATCTTTTTGGAGACTTTGTTACACTTAATGCTATTGATTACACCGCAAAATTAGATAACAAAGATATATATATACACACACACATGCACACACACACACAAAAATTACAGACGCAAAGATCAATGAGGCGTCTTACTTTTGTCATCTAATATAAATTAGAGAGGCATGAGGTGGGCCATGGTTTTATATTCATTGATGAAAGGGTCCTAAACAATGTAAAATTTTCCCCAAAATTTTGGTGGCCTTGATCAAAATCACACGTTTAACATGCCTGTGGGCAATTCCCCCNCCCTCCCCCTCCCCCTCTATCGGGTATGGGAATCCATATAAATGGAACAATGATAAGAGTTTTGGTCCGTGAGTTATGTCGTTTTTCTTGGTTTTCGTACCTACAGTTTGTTTTAATTTTGTCATCGTGGTTTTCCATTTTGCTGGGTTTTTATCATTTTCTCTCATTTTGGTCTTTTTGCATATAAATCAGGGTTGGATTAGGGGTGGTTGATGTAAACCCAATCCCGCCCCGAACCCACTAGGGGCATAAATCAGGCCCATTCCACCCTATTACCCATTAAGACGGGGAATCCTGCCCCCATAAGGGGTGGATACTCATCCCCACAGTCAAATTTTCATCTTCATTCGAGAATTCAAGACGTACGTTTTTCTTTTCAGTTTGTGGCCCGAATCAGCTCCTCTCTTCCGCCTCTATTTATGCAGTCACAGGGGCTGGTTGGTTTTTCATCAAGTCCTGTATAGATAAAGTTGTATGTATGAATTAATTTGTCTGTTTAGATCAAGAAGGTTTGTGTTTGGTAGGGTTTTTTCATAGACGAAAGGAGCGTGTTTTTTTAATTAGGAAGGGCAGGTTTGGAAAAAACTTGGCTTTCTGCATAAAGCTCCCCCCATAGAAGCTTACTGAATAAGCCACTTTCTATATCATTAAGTTACTACCAATGGTCATGTATAGCTGATGATATAAGCTGCTGCAACTCGTTAAGCTGCTAACAAACATACCCTATCCTCTAATTTGAAGTTCGCTGATTGCTATAAACTTTGGCGAAATATCTCGATGCTTAGACTATCGAAAACTTTCTTTCCCTCACACGGTGCTTAATTTTGATTTCTTTAATCTGGATGCAGCAATGTAGCGGGATTTATTTGGATCACTGACATTGACATCCCAAGGTTTGAACTCAATTTCTTTTCTCAATCCCAACATAAATACTCATAATGAAACTACATACAGTTTTAGAAATATATAATTATTACACTTTTTAATTAACCACGTGACAATTTTACCCTTGATGATAGACTGAGTAATGAACTTCTTTGCCTTATGATTAAGGGTAGAATTGGAAGGTAGACACTTCTGAAAATGAACGCTTATTTTGGGCAAACTAAAACAGAAATCTGGACCAGGGGCTGTTTACAAAACTCTTACCGGATAAGCGTTTACGGAGAGTCACTTACCTTATCGGGTGAACATAAGTAGGGGCGTAAACGAGCCAAGCCGAGTCGAGTAATAGGTTATTTCAGCTCGACTCGAAAAACAAAAACCAGGCTCGAGCTTGAATAAATTTTACAATGTAGGGCTTGAGCTCAAGCTCTATTTTTTGAGTTATTGAGCTCGATGGTCGTTTATGGGCTCAAACTCACGATCGATTAACTCATTTATTGGCTCGAGGTTGATAATTTTTATATTTTTATTGTATGATTTATGAACATATTAGCATGTTTGGCTTGAAAAAGTCTATGCTCGAGCTCGACTCATTTACACACCAAGTATGACAAGGACTGGGAATCTAACCCGGTAAATGAGGGAGAAACTCTTACCCGATAAGCATTTACTGGGTAAAACATGCTTACCAACAATCCATCTTAATGACCAACAATCCACTTTAATGACCAAAAATGTTACTCAATAAGGTAAATAAGGGTGATGACTCTTGGTGGTAAGTGCTACATGTTCAACATTTGGCAAACGTCCCCTAAATGTAGCCATTTCGAATATGATTTCTCCTAGAACCATCACACATGCTAAATTCTCTCGCGTTCTCCATTTCAGGAAGAAAATAACGTATCTCGCACCATCGGGTGGGGAACTTCCGAGCAAATTCTTGTTGATGGGAAGCTTAACATGGATAGAAACCTAAAGTTATTGATACCGGTTGCTAACTTTTGATGTCGTAAGCATATTACCGTTTTGGTCGTATTTTGTAAGATTATGTCTATTAGTCGAGTATCGAAAACCCGCATAGCGTTCACTTGTTTACGTATTTTGTAGTACAATGTAACAATTAGGGGTGCTAATACGAGGTTTTAATGGATTTAGGTCTATCTGATCTGGTTAAATCATCTATTGGATTTGGATATTTTTTAAATCCAATATTTTGATTTAATTAATTTATCGACCATTTCAATCAATTATTTATATGTTTTCTTAATTTCTTTTAAAAGATGGTGAATCTATCGTTTTTAATGGTTTGATCGATCTTAATATCTGTGGGGAGTATGGGTGTAAACGGACCGAGTTGAGTAGAGTAGCAGGTTATTCGAGCTGGGATCGAAAAACTAATATCAATCAGGCTTAAGCTCGATTAACTTTTTCAAAATCGGGCTTGAGCTCGGGATTGAAATTGATGCTCGTTTATGAGCTCGAATTCGAGATCGATTAACTCCTTTATTTACTGAAACTCGATAAGTTTTATATTTTGATTATATAGTTTATACAATTATGGATGTATTATCTCGTAGTAAGGCCCTTGGCATGTAACTCGATTGGTAAAAATGTCATTAGATTTGCCTAAATACAAGATAAGTCATGGGTCCTCTATCCCTTCACCAAAACAACTCTTAAGTGAGCCAAAAAGTGTTACCTCACATTGGTGTCTTAGGAGGAGGGTTTCGTGCCGGACCAGTCGAAATAACCTGTAATCAACTTCTTGCTCAAATTATCTCGTCCTATGTTGGTATAGTTATTTGGGCAAATTGCATGAAAAAGTAACGTACGTTAACTTGATTTCTATTTTGGTTAACGTATTTTCATAACTTCAATCTTGGTACCTAAGATGTAAGGTTTTTAAACATTGAAGTATCCGGATTACCGGTTGGAGAATTAACTCTTTCTTCTAATAAACCACAATACATAAAAACTAATTTTAGATTAAGATATCCATGTCAGCATATAATACTGAGTTGGATACCACATCACTCGCCATATTAACATGGTAACCGGTTAATGCTTCAACCAGTTACTCGGATACTTAAATATTTAAAAAACTTTACATCTTAGATACCAAAATGGAAGTTTTGAAAATACGTTATCAAAATAAGAATCAAGTTAAAGTACTTTTACTTTTTCATGCAATTTCTCCTAGTTTTTTTTTACTTAAAGTCCCACAGGAGGAGATCTCTCGAAAAGTATTTAGTGCGCATTTCGGTCAACTCTCCATCATCTTCCTTTGGCTGTTGTTGTCGTAAAAGGTGTTGCACCGTCTTCAATGAAACACCGAATCTTATATCAACTACTAAATTTTATAGTGAATCACTCACTGCATCGGAGACACAAAATTTGGTGTAATGAAAGGTAATACACCAAATAATGGTGTAAAACTATTCATTTACACCAATCAAACGAGAATATATAAAAAATGAAATAATCCTAGAATCTTACTGTTTAGTGTTACCCAGTAGGGTAAATTTATTGTTCGTACCAAATTTTATACCAATTTTTATCAGTTTAATATGAGATTTAATGTTACGTGTTGGAGGTATCTGATACAAGCATTTTTTTTTCCGAAACAAACATTTTAAACATTTTTCGTGGTCATATCATACCAAAAATATGAAAACGAAAGTTGCATATTAACATGGTCCGGTTAGATCTGTCTTTAATAATCTAATTATTTTTAACAAATTCTTTTAAAAATGGAGGTTTTGAATTTTTTTATTATATTTTTTAAAATGAAAAAGGTAAAAAGGAAAAAGAGTGAAGTTCTCTAGAAATAATTGTTTAGATGAATAAGTATATTTATAGTATTTAAAACTATATAGACTTGGGATCATGTGAGACTAAAGGTTTTTTGTGAGACCCGTAAGACCAATTATTAACCCTTGGATTAGATCTACAATCTGCACATTCATAATCACAAAATTGCCACGAGACTTCTCAATAATCACAAAATTGTCACCATGCAACTTTAGACCATTAGATCATTAGCTTATAAAGTTGATCAATGAACATACATTGGTCTTATGGGTCTCACAAAAAACTCTTGGTCTCACGTGAACTCAACCGTTAAAATATATATACGTATATATATTTCGGGTTTTCAGATAGATCGGGTGGCCAAAAATCAAACCCAACCCGAACCCAAAATTTTCCCCAAAAAGTCGAATTTTCCGGGTTTCGGATTTCAGGGCATTCGGGTTTACATAAATATCTTATTTTCAGTTCGGAATTGGTTCAGATAATTCGGGTTTTGCATACCCCTAATTGTAAATCCCTATTTTTGGCCGACGATCAAAGCCTCGGCCCCTGTTTTTGACCGACGATAGGGACCTATGCAAATCGATCAAACTCTTGGTCCCTGTTTTTGCCCGATAATGGGACTTTTCATGTCCTTTTTAGTCATTTTACATGTATAAACAAAAACTTGTCAAACATTAAAAAACAACTTATCAGCTTATTACGTTTTGGTACTGTCATAAGTTAATCCAAACATTTTTTATAAAACCATGATTTAACATCACATAAGTTAATAAACACTTTAAAAAAACAGATGTTTTAAATAAACAATCCCAAATAAAAAAAAATGCAAACTTATTTAAAAACAGACGAAAACCGTCTCATAAACATGAAGTGTTTGTTAGAATTAAAAATTAAATTAAATAATATATTAAATTAAAAAATAAATGGAATTAAAAAAATTAATAATAAAAGGTATCTTTGATAATATCATTTAATATGTTGTAGCAATCCATAAAACGACAAAAAAACAAAACCCAATGTTTAGAATATTTCCTAGGTATATGTTCACATGTATACACACATGCTTTGAATTATTGAGAAATCACATGATAATATTAAATATATTTTGGATTTATCTTCAACTATAACATTTAGAACATGGGAATGAAAAATTTATCTGTTTATGTCACAATCAGATTAAATCATGTATTAAGAATACTAAAAATAAATATTGATATTGATGTATATCAGAAGAAAATTAGTAAGACAGACTGTATTTAACAATAAAGTGGGGTAAATACACCATTATATATCATGAAGATTGCTATTTACATTCTTTTTAATGTCAAAATCATGTTGATCGATGCATTGAGAATGTAAAAAATGAGTTTTGATATTGTATACTATGCCGTTTTGGTGGACTAAAATCTTACCCAGTAATTACATAATAGTTTTAAATTTTATCAGTAAACACTTACCGGATAAGTGTTTAATAAACGACCCCTAACATGTTTTTACATATTACAAGGATCAGATTTTCAAAACTTTAAAATTCAAAATAATAATTTAAAGATTTAATAATATAAAATTAAATAATTGATTAAAGTAATTATTAATTAATAATTTGAAAATAAAAAATAAAAAAGCGAAAAACTGGGCCGCAAATCCCATCCCCATCCCCGACTTCAACTATGGGACATGAGTCAAAGCAATACCCACTAGTTACTACTACTCTACAAGCCGACTTTTCCTCCACCAAAACCGTCCAAACCAAATGACGAACTCAATGACACAATTGCACGTGGGGTCAATCCCTTCCCACGTGTCACTCCCTCATTTGCCCGTCGACTCCCCCTTTGTCTTCTTCCAGTAAAACCATTGAAAATATTAGGACTCTAATTTTGGCCCCTTAAGTTTAGTGAAATTATTGAAATTGGAACTTAAATTTTGATAACTTTAGAAATCGTTCTTGTAGTTCTCATTTTATTCTGAAATGGTCCCTGATCATTAACTTTGTTAAAAACTATCCGGGTTAAGAGAGAGAGATATTTTTGTCTTTTCTCTATTTTATAATTTATCTTGTAAAAAGAGTTTAAAAAAAATTCATTCCCTACCTCTAGAAATACCCATATCTTAATGGACAGGTTTTAACGGAATTAGTGATTGGAGATCATTTTCAGAGCAAAATGAGAACCACAATGATACTTTCTAGACTTATCAAGGTTCAAATATTACTTTCAGATTTTTTACTGAACCCCAATGACCAAATTTAGAGTTTACTCTAAGAGTAAACTCTAATTTTGGTTCATAAGGTTTAGTAGAATATTTGAAAGTGAGACATGAACTTTGATTACTCTAGAAATCGTCTTTGTGGTTATCATTTTGTTCTGAAAGTGGTATCTAATCACTAATTTCGTCAGAAGTTGTCCATTAAGAGATGAATATTTTTGTCTTTTTTTCAAATTTTTTATCTTGTTCGTTAAAAGATAGGTATTTTTGTCCTTTTTTTCTTTCAATTTTCCCGTTTATCTTGTAAAAAGATTTTAAAAAATCATTCTCTACATGCAAAAACAACCATCTGTTAACGGAGTTAGTTACTAGGGACCACTTTCAGAGCAAAATGAGAACCACAAGAATAGTTTTTAGAGTTATCAATGTTTAGGTCTCATTTTTTAAGATTTCACTAAACTTGAGGGACCAAAATTGAGTTTACTCAAATAATAATAAGAGGCTGCGTCAACCAACCCTTCTCCTCCAAGCAATCTCTCCTCTCTCTTGCTACTTCCTCGAACTCACGTTTTCATCCAGATTCAATCCCCCACGTGCCCCCTATCTCTATATAACCCTTTCCCCTTCTTCTTCACTAGTGTCGAAAACCCAAAACCCTAGCAGCAATTTGCAAGTGATTTTTGGAGAAGTTAGTGAAGGAATTCGAGTTTTTCTTTGAAAAATTATGACTGGTGATAGTTTGGAGTTGCCTCCTGGATTCAGATTTCATCCAACGGATGAAGAATTGGTTATGCATTACCTTTGTCGGAAATGTGCTTCTCAGACGATTTCAGTTCCGATTATTGCTGAGATTGATTTGTATAAGTTCGATCCATGGCAGCTTCCTGGTAATTACAGTTTTTTTTTAGATCTTATCTCTTTTTTCCGACTGTAATTTGCTTATTGATTCACGTCAGTTTATCCAAAATTTGACGAAGAAGTGTTGAATCCTGTGATTCTATTTTCGAAATCGATTACGAGTTCAAATTTTCTGACTTGTGTTGAATCCTGTGATTCTGTTCCAGAACTTGACCGAGTTCGAATTTTGATCTAATCAAAGTATTTTCTATGATTTTATCCAAGTTTGAGACATATTGTCAAACTCAATGAATCTGTTTCAAAAAACGATTGTTATTTCAGATCTCGAAGTGTTTTTATCCAAATCAGAAGAAAAAAACAAACGAAAATTCCTCGATTCTGTTTCATAAATTGATTTCGTTCGAATTTTGATTCGTCAGTTTCAAGTAAATTTCAAAATAACCGTGAAATTCTATGATTCTGTTCGAATTCTATGAACCGTGAAATCGATTGTGCCTCTGAATTCTGATGTGATCTAAAGTTTAAACGGAGTGATATTGATTCTCCTTTTGTTTTCATCTGAACAGATATGGCTCTGTACGGAGAAAAGGAGTGGTACTTCTTTTCACCTAGAGACAGAAAGTATCCGAACGGATCTCGGCCGAATAGAGCTGCCGGAACAGGTTACTGGAAAGCTACCGGAGCCGACAAACCGATCGGAAAACCAAAAGCCGTCGGAATAAAGAAGGCGTTGGTGTTCTACGCCGGTAAAGCTCCGAGAGGTGTGAAAACAAATTGGATAATGCATGAATACCGTCTCGCTAACGTTGATAGATCCGCTGGCAAACGGAACAACAATCTCAGGGTACGTTCCTATATCTTTCTTCCGATTAACCCCTTTTCAAGTGATGGAATTCACAAATTCAGATAATTGTACACATCTCGAAGCATAATGTACAAGCAATCATGTGAATCCCATCCTTGGTCAAAGTATAAATACACACAATGTACGTAGATACCGTGAGAAGATATTTGTTTTCATAAAAACGTTGTCGTTTTATGCTATAAATTCAAAAAAATAAAATGCAAATAATAAGAGTGAAATTGATTAAGGGGGTGTTTTCGGTTGCTTGTTTGAAACAACTTATGTTTTTTTTTATAAAAGTCCTTATCAATTTATTATAGAATGGTTTAACTTTTTCAAAAACTCCTTATTACCAATTTGACATTGGTATAAGCTGTTTATCCAATCATTTAAAAATGTTTATTACTGATGCTTTATCAAAATAAGTCAATAAATTGTTTTTATACGCAATCTCAAAACACCCCTAAAATAATGAATCTTGTTAACCAAAATTAAATATTCATTTTAGTCAGAGTTTATGTGAATACTTTACGTATTTATGTAAATCCTATTTTCAGAATTAAAAAAATAATAATTTATGCAAATTACGCATCCCCATTTGTATAAAATTAAAATTTATTTTGGAATAAACTAAAATAGAAAATGATATCACTTATTTTGGTAGAGATGGAATATGCAACATTTTCATTAACTATTTAACATAGATTTTGATCATTGTTCTGTTTTGTAGTTATTGTTTTAACGAAAAACTTGATTTTGATATTTTTGACTGATTAATTTGTTATTGTATTTATACAGTTAGATGACTGGGTATTATGCCGAATATACAACAAGAAGGGCGTTTTGGAGAAACACTTAACCTCTGACGTAAAATCAACATCATTTTCTGAGATGGAAATCGAAACAAAACCCAAAATCACACCATATTCTCCTATAGAAAACGTGTCATCACAACATCGACCATCATCAATACCACATCATGTCATGGACGATATATTTAACTTCGATACGTCAGAATCAGTTCCAACTTTACACACGGATTCAAGTTCGGAACATGAAAAAGAAGTCCAAAGTGAAGTAAAAAAAGACGAATATCAGTTCAATTATATGGATCCTTTTACAGATGACGCATTTACCCCTCAAAGCCAGTATTACAACGACTATCAACTATCTCCATTACAAGATATATTTACCTTCATGCCCAAATCATTTCAAATGTAAAACCACTCGAAGCAAAATGTGTACATGGATTGGGGGGTTTTGACCAAAATACCCTCGTAGAAAGCATGCACTACAAGTTGAGAAGCCGCAAGAGTTGAAGGGATTGTTTAATGACTTTGAGGTCCCTCATTAACCAAATGAAGAAAATTATGGGTGCAGTTTTATAGAGGACAAAAGTGTCAATTCACATTAGATATATCCTAGGTTCATCACTTGTTAATATATCCATATCCCCATTTGGTGCTATGTAGCATTCTTTTATTAGTAGTAGCATTTTACACATGCATCACATTCTCTTTGTTTCATTTATTATAAATTGTATTATAAATTAAAATCAATTAAAAAATATATTATATTCTTGTTGTTTCTTATTAAACCTTTTACTTTACTTTAATTCTAATTTTATCTAACCACAAGAGTGATGTCTGAACTATAAGGGGCCGTTCGGTTCGCGGAATTCGAAGGAATTTGATGGAATTGGAATGACAAATTCCTTTGTTTGGTTCATTTCTTGAATGGATGGAATCCTTCAAATTCCATTGAATTCCACAAGTTAATGAATTCATCATTCCTTGGCATAATGGAAGAAATTGAATTCCATCGCCATCCACCACGATCATGCTACTATTGTTCATGATGCCCCACCCTTAACCCCCACCAGTGATGTCGCTGCCACCCACCTTACCCCACCCTAACCACTATACCACTAATGTTGTCATCACACCCACCCACCCTCCAGTCACTCACTACACATCCCTACTACGACTATGCTACTAAC